TAAACTTTCATACAATGCATTTAGACGTTTTTTACTTTCTGATATTTCCTTCAAAAATGTTTAAAAAAAAGTCGAAAAACCGAAAAAATAGGGAAAAATTTCGAAAAAATAGTTTGAAAATTGAAAATAACAATATTATTCAATTTTTTACTTAAAAAATTCATTTGTTTATTTTTCTATAATTAATTTTAGATCATAATTTTTATATATAATAAATAAAAAATTATGAATTAGTTAGAAAAATGAATTTTCACATTAAAAAATTGAATAATAGTATTTTTTTCATTTACAGCCTAAAAACAAAGTTTTATTTTGAAAAAAAATGCTTGGAAAATTGTAAAAATCCGTTTTTTCTTTTGCAACCAAAAAACAAAGATTTATTTTCAAAAATTGTAAAAAACCATTTTTTTGCAAACTAAAAACAAAGATTTATTTTTAAAAAAAATGCTTTAAAAATTGTAAAAATCAATTTTTTCATTTATCAATTTTTTTGTGCATTCAAAAACATATTTTTTACAAAATTACGCATGGATTTCAAAATCTGACAATTTTTAAAAAAATATTTACTTTAAATACAAAAATATTTACTTAAGTCGAATAAATATTTACTTGAATTAAAAAAATATTTACTCGAGTCGAATATAAATATTTACTTGAATTAAAAAAACATTTACTTGAGTCGAATAAGTATTTACTTAAATCAAATTTTTATTTGATAATAGACAAGTAGTCGTTCAACTGAATCAAATAAATTTTTATTTTTGGCATTTCCCCGAATTTTTCCTGTTACTTTTTAATTTTTTAGTCAACAAGAATTAACTGATTTTCAGGGAAAATTTATTATTTCAAAAAAAAATTGTATTCAAATTCTATAAAGTTTTATTTTTTGAAATTAATTCGAAGCGAAGGGGACAAGTGAATATTTTATTGCAAAATGAAATTGTCACAATTTTGATCAGTGATCTTCAGTTGCAATCGCATACAGTCACGATTTGAATTCAGGAGCTAATCCCTTGATTCCAGTTCAGTGAAACTGTGAATATTTGATGTACTGATTTTGACTGTCAATCAGTGTAAAATAAAAGTGCGAATTTTTATAACTGAATTGATGAAATTACGTGCAAATTTTGAATCAATGAGATTCTATTTATCTGTCGATTATTCAAATTTTGATTTTGAAAATATTTTTTTGGGGAAGATTTTTACTAAAGTAAAAGTTGAATTACAATTTTTTTTTGTGAAAATTTGGTGAAAATCCAAATTTGGATTAATAATAATTTACCGAATATTCCCTAAAAAGTATTAATAACAAAAAACACGATTTTTTTTTTGTAAATATTATTCAAAAAATTTTCTGGTGGAAATTTTTACCAAAAATTACTAAACTATTTTTGTAATATTTTTTTAGAGGAAAATTTTAGTAAAATTTGTCAATTTTTCATTAATTCTGTTTTTGAAAATTTCCCAAAAATTCATTAGTAGTTTTTTGAAAAGTTTCGTGAAAAAATTCGATTCTTAAATCGAGAATAATTCTTTAAAAGTTCGTGGAAAAATTTGTGAATTTTCCCCCAAGAAAATTCGAAATATTCCCCAAGATTTTTCACCAAAAAGTTTTTCCGGAAAAAAAGTGAAATATCCCCTGAAATTAGTAGAATTTTTCCTCAAATTATTTTTTGTGGTAATTTCATAATATTCTTCAATTTAAATTTTCTTTCAAAGTTAATTTTCCCGGAAGAAAAAATTTGAAAATATCGGAAAAATTAAAAATGTGTACTAAAAATTAGGGGAATATTTTTTAAATTTTCGCAAAGTAATCTCGAGAGATATTTTTTTTTCTCCAAAGAATTACAAAATGAATTTTTTTTTTTTTTTTTTTTTTAAGATGGAAATGATTGACACGATTTTCCTCTGGCTCATTAATAGTGACCAACGACTTCTTTGACGGTAATTTATAGTTGAGTGAGTCATCTACTATAAAGAATGCTACTCTATTATTTATACGAACTTTCACATATCCAGGTATAGTATTCATTTATATTTATATACCGGTGTTCCACGATTTTGTTTCTTAAACTCTAATACCGGTGTGGCGAAGATAATTTTCTATTTTCACAATTCTCTGAAAGACTATTCCGGCCACACTACTGTCCGCAATGCGTTTAATTTACAAGAAAGAGAGACTCTTCGTAGTCGCGCAAAACGAAACTGTATTTAGCGCGACGAGACTTAATTTTATTTAATTCGCCTTGATAAAACTCAAGTTCGTAAAAAAGTGTGTGAAACTGTGTCTCTGAATGTGTCTGTGTGTGTGTCGCAATTCACAAGTTTCATATACACTTTTATTAATTTATTACATTCCGCTCGAAGGAAAAATTGTCTTTCAAAAAAAAAATTCTACCTCTGCCAATAATTTTTCAAATGTAAAATTTTCAAATGGAAAATAATTTTTTTGTTCAAAGTTTTTTAACTTCGAACAAAAAAGGATTATTTTCCTTTGAACGAAAAAATCGAAATTTTTTATTCTAGCTAAAAATAAATAATATAAATATAAATAAAATATAAATAAACAAAATATATAAATGAATATTAATATAAAAAAATATTACGATTTAATTTTACATAGTCTAAAAATTTACACTAAATTTGTACTATAAATAAAAAATTTACTTTTGTACTATAAATATAAAATTTGCACTAAATTTGTAGTATAAGTATAAAAATTACCCTGTATTTGTACTATAAATACTTAGTTTTTCTAAGAATATTAAATTGAGACAAAAAACGAATCAAAATGTTGCTTCGCAACACTTTTAATTCGTTTTTTGTCTCAATTTAAAATCCTTAGAAAAACTGTGTTTTGTCACAAAGGAAATACAGTAATTTTTACAATACTTACAAAGTGAAACGTACATTGTGTCAATTTCATGTAATTTTACCAATTTTTACTACTTTTTGAGTAAATTTTACTGATTTTGATTTAAAACAAACTTTATTTTCTGACCACTTTTTTTTACTACTTTCGGATGAATAAATTTTACTGTTTTCTACTTGAAAATAAGAATAGAGTAATTTTTACTATTGCCGGAATAAATTCTACTATTTTTGATACAAAAAAGAATACAGTAATTTTTACTATAATTAAAAAGTATAAATTTTGAAAATTTTTACTACTTTTTCAGTAACTTTTACTGATTTTGATTTAAAAAAAAAACAAAATTTTCTGACAATTTTTTTTACGTTTTTTTGGATAAGTAAATTTTAGTGTTTTCTATTAGAAAATAAGAATAAAGTAATGTTTACTATACTCTCGTAGTAAAACTTAAAATAAAAATTTATTTTTGACAAAAATATCGTCTAATTTTCTCAATTTTGACTATTGTTGGAAAAAATTTTATATATTTCTTAAAAAAAATAGAGTAATTTTTACTATACTTTTTGAGTATATTTTACCGAATTTGATGCGAAAAAGCAATATTTTAGTATATTAAACTTTTACTATATTTGTACTGCAAACATACAATTTTTAATATATTTTTACTAAAAATACAAAAATTTATTCTTTATTTGTATTATAATTATAAATTTTGTGCTATATTTTTACTACAAATATAAAATTTTTAATATATTTGTAGTATAAATGTAAAATTTTTATTCTATTTTTACTATATATATTATATTTATTCTATACTTGTACTAAAAATTGAAATTTTATACTATATTTGTATTATAAATATAAAATTTTTACTTTATTAGTAGTAAGTGCAAATGAATATTCAGTACTTGTACTATAAATATAAGTTTTACACTATAATTGTAATATTAACATAAAATTTTTACTATATTTGTAGTACAAATGTAAAATTTGTACATTATTTGTATTATAAACATAAAATTTTTACTATATTTGTAGTACAGAAGTAAAATTTTTACTTTATTTATACTATAGATATAAAATCTAATTGAATAGTAAAAATAGTATATTTTACTACCAATTTATACTAAATCGTATTTTAGTTCTATTTTAGTACTGAAATTAGCTCTATTTTGCAACTTTTCTTTTACACTGAAAAATTGTAAAATTTTTACTAAATTTGTACTATAAATGCGTAAAAATTTTCCTATATTTGTACTATAAATAGACCACGTTTACTATATTTGTACTAAAATTAAAAATTATTTTCTACATTTGTATACCAAAAATCGGAAATACCATATTTTGTTACTATAAAGTATATAAAATTTATATTTAAATAAATTTATATTTATTTAAAAACATAAAACTTAAAAAAAAATTGTACTATTTTCAGTTTATTTATGAGGAAAAGTTCAGAAAACTGATGCTCATGTTTCGGCGAAGAACGAAAGGAGTGAACTTTCCATTGGGCGGGGTCATGTTGATGGAAAATTTCCCCTCCCCCCACCGCCACCCTTCAGAGGAAAAAAATTATTTTTTTGCTCGAAAAAAGTATTTTTTCTCTCTCTAAATTATAAATATTCTTTGCGATAAGAATTTACCCTGATTTTTATATTAAAAATTTGTCCTGATATGGTTAAAACTCAAAGGCGTCGGTTTGAGACGCAGCTCTCGCGCGAGTATATTCTAGCGTCATCAAAATGGACCAACTCTTCGAATGTATATACCGAACTTTGATAAAATTGACTAAAATTCGGCAAAATTGCGGTTTCAAAATTCGAATTTCAATTTATTGTTCTAATTCGAAGCTTTTCGAATTATTACGTCGAAATTAATTTTCCCTAATTTATTTGTGAAAATATTTTATAAAAATTGGTTGGGGAAAATTAAATTTTTTTTAAATCTAGTTTGCAAGATTTCAGAATTAAAAAATGAAGCGAAGAAATACAAAACGAAAAGATATCTAATTGGACCAAAAATGGACCAAACTGATAAACAAAAGTTATAAGAATAATTAATTTGTTATAAAATTGTTTAAATAAGGAAAGAATCATGCTATTAAGTTGAAAAATTTTTCTTTACTTACGTTTGGAACCGAATTAATTGAAACAAGGACATAAGGCTTTCTTGGTAGCAACGACTTTTTTTTAGATCACATTTTAGTTATTTATCAATTTTTTATCATTTTTCCTCTTTTTTTCTCCCTCTTCTCTCGTTTTTTTTTTTGTTAAAGTTTAGCTTCTTTTTCTTTTAAAATCTAAAGTTTTCAAAACTTGTTAAAAATATACTTTTGTCATATCTTTACAATTTATTTCGTAATCGTCTAAAATGTTTCCTCTTTTTTTTTACTATTAGTTTCCTTTTTTCTTCTTCTTTGTTTCTTGTGACGATTTTAGGTAATATCTAAGGCAATGCTTCTTTAAAATTTTGTTACTTTTCTTCTTCTTTTTTTTTTAGTTTTTTTTTTTTTTGTTTTTTTCTTTGGTTTAATTTAAAATTCTTGCTCGTCGATGATGATGGTATTTATATTGGTTAAAATTTCGAAATTATTATGGTATCCAAAAATTTTGTTTGTTAATTGAGAATAATAAAAAGTCACCGGTTTTTTTGTGTATCGGAAATGAAATAGTTGCGGTTTATTAAAGACTTTTTTCACAGATTCGAAAATAATAACCAGTTTGTGTTTTGCAAAAACGGTAAAATTAATTTTTCAATGAAATAACTATTACAACACATAACAACACAGTGCGACGCGTCTGAAAAGTAGATTTAATGTAGTGAATTCTTAAATTTCCGGATTTTTGAATAAATTAGTGAATTTTTAAATTTTCAAGTAATTTTGATTAAATCGGAAAAGGCAAATTTGGAAATTTGAGAATTCACTGCAAAAAGGGGCGCGGGACACTTTCCGAGGGTAGTTGGAAGTAAAAGGGGGGATAAGATTCGAAATTCCCGCGATTGAAAATGGAAAAACCGAAGTAAGAAGGGGGCCACGTGACATGAGGAACGAATAAGCGTCTTTGCCGGGTCTCGAACTCTTCTCCTCCTGCCCCCTTTCCACCCCCTCCTTCAGCATTCTCCTCTCCTTCCCCTTCTAGAGCCCTGCGTTTCGCTCCTTGCGCGTCGTGGTAAGACGCGCCGGGTTGGTCCTTCCCTCCTAGTCGAACCTTTCCCGACTTTTCTCTCTCTCTCTCTCTCTCTATCTCCACGTGTTTCCCGCCACACTGCTTTCTCAAACGTCGGTTATTCGCGACTTGCTCTTCTTTCCCTCTCTTGAGATCCGCGAAGAAGGTTCTCTTTCCGCATCCGGCGGGAAAACCCGTCCGGCAAAGACCAAAATCGTACCCTCCGTCGTCACGGGCACACCTCTCTCTCTCAAATTTTCACTAGGAAAATTTTTCACAAAAAAAAACTATTCACGATAAAAGATTTAAGGTAGTTTTTTTTTTCTAAAATTCCGAATTTTTTTTTTTCTAAATCGAGTACACAATTTTTTTTTTAGGGGGATTTTCTTTTTTTTTTTAAATAACCTTTGATAGAGGCATTGCGAGCATCCCCGTGTCTGAGTAGCAACTGCGCCGTTGCCCTGTGTCGAGCACCCCCACCTCACCTCTCCACCGCCTCTTGCCTCACCTAAACCAAACCAAACCACCATATCAACCCTCTCTTGGACGCGTTGGGCTGTCCGCCCCAGCGCGGGGCTACCGCGTTGCGCACTATTGCACCGGTCCTGCTCTCCAATTTCATTCGCATGTTTCACTGGACTCGATATATATTTTCCAATATATAAAATACATTCCTCTCTCTGTCTATATTCTCACTTTGATTCTCGCCCTCTCTCTCTCTCACACTCTACTCCTCCTCGTCCTCCTCTTTGGCAAAGCAATATTTTTACATCAAGGAATTTATTGTATACAATAATGTTGTAAAATATATTACCCTGACATAATTTTCAGCACTAAACTGAAACAGTGTTGCATATATAGTTGTATTATCGATAAAGATCTGAATTATGTTGAAAATATTCCCTTTGAACTTTTTGATAAAATAATTATTAATTATCTAAAGATATTTTTTTTCTTTTAGTGCAATATACATATTTTAATGAAATTGGAAAATTATATGTAAATTTGGTTTAAAATTTAATTTTCCTCTTTGGGTGGACGTAAAGATTTTTAGAACTGACAAAAATTACTTAGGGGCAACGTACGCCATGTTCCATCCTCCATTTTGAATTTTTAATATCGAAGGTCTATTTTTACAAAGGAATTCTTTTTATATTTTGAATTTAACGGAAAATAATCAGTAAATATATGTTTTAAATAGATTTTACTATAAAAGTATAGTAAAAATTACTTTATTCTTATTTTCTCTAGAACAGTAAAATTTACTCAGCCAAAAATAGTCAAAAGTCCCCACCTCTTACTTATTTTTGGATCAAAATTCTTGACAAACATAAATTTATATTTAAAAGTTTTACTACATTACAGTATAGTAAAAATTACTTTAATCTCATTTCTAGTAGAGAAGAAAAAAATTTACTTATCAGAAATATTAAAAAAAAGTATGGTTAGAAAATATTGGTTTTTCTAAAATCAAAATCAGTAAAAATTAGCTAAATTTGAACTAAGGAAGTATAGTAAAAATTACTATATTCTTCTTTGTATTGAAAATAGTAAAATTTATTCCGACAATAGTCAAAATTGAGAAAAATGAGACGATTGTCTTGTGAACAAAAATTTATATTTAAGTTTTACTATACGAAAGTATAGTCAAAATTACTTTATTCTTAGTTTTTAAAACACTAAAATTTACTCATCCGAAAATAGTAATAAAAAGTGGTCAGAAAATAAAGTTTGTTTTAAATCAAAATCAGTAAAATTTACTCAAAAAGTAGTAAAAATTGGTAAAATTACATGAATTTGACACAATGTACGTTTCACATTGTAAGTATAGTAAAAATTGCTGTATTTGCTTTGTGACAAAACACAGTTTTTCTAAGGATATTAAATTGAGACGAATTAAAAGTGTTGCGAAGCAACATTTTGATTCGTTTTTTGTCTCAATTTAATTTCCTTAGAAAAACTAAGTATTTATAGTACAAATACAGTGTAAATTTTATATCTATACTACAAAATTAGTGTAAATTTTATATTTATAGTACAAATATAGTGTAAAATTTACATTTATAGTACAAATATAGGTTAAATTTTATATATCTATATAGTATAAATAAAGTAAAAATTTTACTTCTGTACTACAAATATAGTAAAAATGTTATGTTTATAATACAAATAATATAAAAATTTTACATTTGTACTACAAATATAGTAAAAATTTTATATTATAAAATTTCAAATTTTAGTACAAGTATAGAATAAATCTTAATATTTGTAGTAAAAGTAGAATAAAAAATTTACATTTGTACTACAAAAATAGTAAAAATTTAATATTTGTAATAAAAATATAGCACAAAATTTATAATATTATTTATACAAATACAGAATAAATTTTTGTATTTTTAGTAAAAATATATTAAAAATTGTATGTTTTGCAGTACAAATATAGTAAAAGTTTAATATACTAAAATATTGCTTTTTCGTATCAAAATCAGTAAAATTTACTCAAAAAGCAGTAAAAATAATTGACAAAATTTATACTTTCTAAGTATAATAAAAATTACTATATTTTTATAAATGGAAATATCAAATTTATTTTCGACAATAGTCAAAATTGAGAAAATTAGACGAAATTCTTGTCAAAAATAAATTTATTATTAAAGTATAGTAAAAGTTATTTTATTCTTATTTACTATAGTAGAAAACATTAAAATTTTCTCATCCAAAAATAGTCAGAAAATATTGCTTTTTTTTAAATCAAAATCAGTTAAATTGACTCAAAAAGTTCTAAAAATTGACAAAATGTATATACTTTGTAAGTATAGTTAAAATTATTTTATTTATTTTTATTCTTTTTTGTATTAAAAATAGTAAAATTTATTCCGGCAGCATAGTCAAAATTTGAGAAAATGAGACGATTGTTTTGTCAAAAATAAATTTATATTCAAGTTTTACTATTAAAGTATAGTATAAATTACTCTATTCTTATTTTAAAATAGAAAACAGTAAAATTTACTCATCCGAAAATAGTAAAAAAAGTGGTCAGAAAAAAAAGTTTGTTTTACATCAAAATCAGTAAAAATTTACTCAAAAAGTAGTAAAAATTTGGTAAAATTACATAAAATTGACGAAATATAGGTTTAACTTTGTTCTCTTTTTATTTATCTCGCAATTAGTAAAATTAATAATAATAATAAAAATAATAAATTAGTAAAATAAAAAAAAAAATAGTAAAAATTTGTAAAATTAAAAATTTATATAGTTTAACACAAAACTTATTTGAGAAGCATTTTAAATTATAAAATCAAAGAGTCACACGACAGAATATCGAGTGCGGAAAAAAAGGGAACGATAATAATTGTCATCAAAAGTTGAATGTATATATATACGTGGGACCTAATGAAGACTGGACAATTGACGATTGGTTAATTAAGGAACCTATATAGTGACAACAATTAATAATTATACATGATTTGATAATGAAGATGTAATTTTGAATTCGAAAATGAATCCGATAACGAAGACTAATGTCATTCTATATATACATAAATACATTTACTATAATTAATACAGTTGCATATAAGTGCAAGTGCTACTTGTATTATTAATTATTATTGAATTTTTCGAAGAATTTCATTCAAACTTTTAAGAATAATTGCGTTTTTAGAGGAATTCATTTAAAATTCGTATTAAAAATAATTGAAATCCTGCGATGAGTACGGTAAAAAGTGTACAAAAGGGTAAAATATACAGAAAAGTAAAGAATACTGAAGGCCAGAGTGTACAGAGGGGTAAAAATTAAAAAATTTGCAAAAAGGTACAATATACAGAAAAGTATAAAGAATAAAGAAGATTACAATGTACAGAGGGGTAAAAAGTGTACAGAAGGGTTAAAAATGTACAGAAAGGTTAAAAGTATGTACAAAAAGGTAAAATATACAGAAAAATAAAGAATACAGAAGACTAGAGTATATGTACCAAAGGGTAAAAAGTGTACAAAAGAGTAAAGTGTACACAAAAATAGATCTTGTACAAAAAAGCAAAGTACAAATAAGTAAGGTTAAAAAGAGCACATAGCAAGATGCATCGTTTTGCATGCGGTCAACGAGCAAAAGGGAAAAACGTTCGTTAGTTGTGAAGAAAGAAAAGAAGCAAAGGCCAATTTAAAGAAGAAGAAGAAGAAGTAGTAGTAGTAACGATCGATTGCCAAGTGACGGGGCAAACGAAATGCATAGGTGGAGAAATCGTGATCCCTTTTTCGTGCCACCTGTGTGTTGTTTCCCCGCACATATATAGCATGTGATCTGCACCATCCTAATAAGATACTGGCAGAGAGCATCCCGGTGAAAGGCTCGCGCCAAGGAATGCCGCTGGAGAATTTCTGCAGGCGAAGCACGCGTTATGCTTGCGTAAGTGTGTGCCATGCGAATGCTTGTGTGTTGATGAGGGTGGTTTCGAGCCCCGAAGCGCGATGTAGCGGGCTGTGGTCAGCGGCGGGATTCGAAATACGATGGTGGTTGTGCGAGGTACGCAACCACTCTGCCTCTCTCTCTCTCTCTCTCTGTCCACATTCTCACTCTCGCACTCTATCAAGATATCGTTTCCTCTCTCACTCTCTCTCCCTATTCTCTCTTTACCCTTCTCTCTCTTGCTCTACTTAGGGTGGACAAGAGTGAGAGAGAGAGAGAGAGAGAGTCCCCCCTCGCCCTCCAACAAGCAGAATGTACAGAGGGTAGTCCTTGCCAGGCGAAAGCGACGAAATAGCTTTTCCTGCAGGTGATGGCTGAACAACACACTTGCCTTCTACACTGACATGTTCGTCTAGTTTACAAAATTTATCACAGTTGACCTTGCGCTAGTATTTCTCTTTTTGGAGTAGAAATGACACAAACAGACATGGTACATATACACTATATAGAAAAAAAAAAGATTTAGTGCCAGCATAAACAATATCGCGTTTGGTTCTAGGCAATTTTGCTCATGTTAACCCTAATAATGGTTGTTGACTGATACAAAGTTGTTTAATCATTCTAAGTAAACAATTGATTAGTCAAACCTAATTTGCTCCAAAATTAAGTCTGAAATAATATAGTAATAGGCGCGACCTAGTGAATGAAAAACAAAAGTCGTTAAAGTAAAAAAAGGCATTTCCCCTAAAATGCCTTTGGGAAAGCGAGGGATTACTTTTCCATTTAGATTTTATCGTTCTTCACTTCAATTCGCGTCTTTCTATCTCAGCGATCATTTTACGATTCCGTGAATCTTCTCCGGTGTGTCCCCCTCTTCCCTCCGCACCTTTTGAATCCATTTGACAGTCCTTTGTTTTTACTAATTACCCACCAAAGCCTCTTCCCCAGTTGATCATTAGGCGACTAGCCAAGAGGGTGTCCTTCACCCAATGTCCCTCTAATAAAAGGATTACCGATTCTCAACTGCACTTTGCCAAAAAGAAAATAACTATATAGTTGACCCAGAAAAAAAAGAATACCTGCAAAAGAATCTAAATCTATTGTTAGAAAACAGACTCTGCAGCTGTCGGAGCAAAAAATCCAAATTGTTTTTAACCCCAAATGGTCAAGGGTCTTCAATATGATGGTCCATGAATTTTTTCGCTTACGCACAGAAAGGGGAAGTCTTTAAAAAGAATTTGAAATCCAATTTTTGTTCATTCTTCACTCTTGCTATATCATATCGAATGAGAAGTGATGATGCTCCTCACAGAAAAGAGATGATGGTCCGCATGCAAATCTCCATTGTCTGTCC